CAACCTTTATTTGTCACATACACAATGATACAGAGTACAACATGTAGTGAAATGCTTGTGTCCGCGCTGCAGACAGGCTGCAGACGTGCCACTCCAGGGCTTGGTTTTAGCATGGGGGATCTAGCCATACTACTCATGTTACTGGATACAAGAACTTGCGACTCCCACTGCAAAGGTGTGTAGTCTTACCACTACACTATCCAGCTCCCACACATATTGTTATGGTTTTGAGTGGTTCTGGACTTTATGATGTACTCTTGAGTATCAGAGGTGTATTATATTCGGGTTCTATATGTAAATCTTTGTTTACGGTATTTCCTAGTGCTTCTGAGTTTTATTGTCTATGTTTCTTAGATTTTAGTCTTTCTTTAGATTCTGCTAGCCCACTAGATTCTGTGATACATATACGTTCCCCCAGTCGTGTCCTCGTATCTGTCAACTCTGTCTGTGCTCTGTCTCTGTGGTTGTCTGGTCTCCCCATTTAGTTGTGTCAAGTTATTCTTGTCTCCCCTGGTCAGTCATGTTTCTGTGTCTGTTTAGCCTTTTGTCTGTATCAAGCTCACATGTCCGTGTCTCTGCCTCAGCATTATGTTTCCTGTTCTGTTTTGAATGGTAAATGGTAAATAGCCTGTATTTATATTGCGCTTTACTAGTCCTTAAGGACCCCAAAGCGCTTTACATATCCAGTCATCCACCCATTCACACACTGGTGATGGCAAGCTACATTGTAGCCATAGCCACCCTGGGGCGCACTGACAGAGGCGAGGCTGGTGCCACCGGGCCCTCTGACCACCACCAGTAGGCAACGGGTGAAGTGTCTTGCCCAAGGACACAACGACCGAGACTGTCCAAGCCGGGGCTCGAACCGGCAACCTTCCGATTACAAGGCGAACTCCCAACTCTTGAGCCACGATCGCCATGATGCCCACGATGTCTCTCATCTTGTGTGCATTATGTTGAGTTTTGCTTCCTGCTGTCTCAGTCAGTTTCTGTTTGGCTCTGTTCCCCATGTGTCTCCGCTGTGTCTCGTTACCTCATTATTTAATATCTACATTTTCCCATCTTGCTGTGTGCTCTCTTGTTATGTGTTTCCTTGTAGCCAGACTTTCCTAGTTCCTTTAGTTTTATATTTTGTATCATTCACGCTCGTAAGATTATAGAAGTAAATCTGACTTTTTAAGTTAAGTTTCCACGTTTCTAAGTTCTTTTTTTAAGGTCAAGGGTCATATTTTTTTGGCTTTACGAATGTGAAATTGTAATAAATGAATAAAAGAAATCACTTTTGGAATCAAATTGAATCACTTAACTGATTTATTCAGGTAATTTAATTGTGTCAGCAGAAGAAACATTAGTACGAGGAAGACTGGGACTGAGACTGGTTTTATGTGGTCTGATTTGTATCCTCTAAGATTTCTAACTGCTGAGTTCAAAGTTCTGGGCACAAGTCATATTTACAAACCTCTACAGTTCAGACTTCATCACTCAGTACAGTGTTTAATATAAATGGCATAACAGGGCCGTACAATAGAGTAGCATGACAGAGATAAACAGAAGAGAGCGTATTTGGATATGGTTCAGCAGAGAAACAGAAGAGCTGACAGTTTTATGCTGAACATTACCAAACAGCTGCCTATTTGTACATCTTAAACAGCAACATTAACATTCAGTGCAGGCACATATTGTGACCATCTGATGAAAGTACAGTAAGTGTGCTCTAAACTCAAAGCTCTGCTGAGAGAAATATCTGCTTAACAGCTAAATGCCTTACTATGCTCAAGAGCTCATTGCTAACTAACATATTTGCTCACTGGTTGTCTCCCTTTTCAACATTTTCCTTTTTACACATTTTAATAGGTTTTTGGGGTTTTTTGGGGGTTTTTTGCCTGTCCCGTTTGGATCTTTAGCCATCAGAATTGTTGTCTGAAGGCCAAGAAAGATGCCAAGTGGATTTACTTTACCAAGTGGATCATCATGGCCTTGCCATATTGGTCCATTTGATTGACCTTTATTATAATTATGTATTTATTTTATTTTCAATTTTTAAAGATGGGACAGACATGACTGGGGAATAGGACAGGGAGAAAGAATGAAAGAAAGAGAGGGAGCGAAAGAAAAATAGAGGGGAGAAGAGATGGTGAGAAAGGGGGGAAGAAAAAACAAACAAACAAAACACCTGGATCACCTGTATGGAGATAAAAAAAAACAGAAGATAAAACAAACAACAAAGAGCAACATAATAAAACCAACACCATCACAATAAACTAGCTAACAGTAGATAAATTCAAATTCAAATTCAAATTTTATTTGTCACGTACACAGTCATACACAGTACGATATGTAGTGAAATGCTTGGACAACTGCTCGTGACCTAAAGAAAACAAAAAAGGAAAAGGCTATGAATAAGATAGGAAATAAATATGAAAAATTAAAAAGGGTAAATTTAACTAGGAAGGAATAAAATATAAATTAAGGTTAAAAATGAAATAACTGTACAACAAAATACACAATATAGAACTATATAAGAATGTATGAAGAAATCTAAATATAAATAAATATATACACAATAACAGCAGCTGTACAAGTATTAACCGGAAATGAAGAATATAGTGACCAGTGTTGTGCAAAAAAACAATGTGTGCAAAAACACAATGTGTGCAAAAACAATGTCCAGAATGTCCAGTGTGTGTAAGAACTGTATGTGTGGGTCAGTACTGTGTGGTGGTGTGATTGAGAGACCGTATCGCCTGCGGGAAGAAGCTCCTCCTCAGTCTCTCTGTGTTGGTCTTCAGGGAGCGGAATCGCTTTCCTGACCTCAGCAGAGAGAACAGTCTGTTGTTGGGATGGCTGAGGTCCTTCACGATCTTCCTGGCCTTGGTCCAGCACCGCCTGCTGTAGATTGAGTGCAGGTCAGGGAGCTCGGAGCGGATGGTGCGCTCAGCTGACCGCACAACCCTCTGTAGAGCTCGTCTGTCCTGCATGGTGCTGTTCCCGAACCAGGTTAAGATGTTTCGCGTCAGGATGCTCTCTATGGTGCACGAGTAAAAGTTCCTGAGCACCTTGGAGGGCAGTTGGAAGTCTCTCAAGCGTCTGAGGTGGTAGAGACGCTGTCGGGCCTTTTTCACCACGGTGTTGATGTGACAGGACCATGACAGGTCCTGCGTGATGTGAACTCCGAGGTATTTGAAGCTGTCCACTCTCTCCACTGGGCACTCGTTGATGACGGGGGTCTGGTAGTTCCTCTCCTGCTTAGTGCTGAAGTCCACTATCAGCTCCTTTGTCTTACTGACGTTTAGAAGGAGGTTGTTCCTCTGGCACCAGTTCTCCAGATTCCTAATCTCCTTCAGGTAGGCCGTCTCGTTGTTATCAGAGATCAGGCCCACCACGACGGTGTCGTCAGCAAACTTGATGATGGTGGTGGAGCTGGTAGTGGCCACACAGTCATATGTGTACAAAGAGTACAGCAGGGGGCTCAGAACACACCCCTGGGGGGCGCCAGTGCTGAGAGTGGTGGAGGCTGAGACATGTCCGCCCATCCTTACTGCCTGTGGTCTGCCAGTTAGGAAGTTGGAGATCCACTGACACATAGATGAGCTGAGTCCCAGATGCTCCAGCTTGGTGGTGAGTGTGGAGGGAATTATGGTATTAAATGCAGAGCTGTAGTCTATGAAGAGCATTTTAACATAATTCCCCCTTCTAGTGTCCAAGTGAGTGAGTGATGTGTGGAGGAGATGAGAGATCGCATCGTCTGTGGAACGATTTGGACGGTAAGCAAACTGTAGTGGGTCCAGTGTGTCTGGTAGTGAAGAAATGATGAAGTCTCTGACCAGGCGTTCAAAGCACTTCATCACTACTGAGGTGAGGGCTACAGGGCGATAGTCATTGAGAGAAGCAGGGTGGGGTTTCTTCGGGACAGGAACAATGATGGACTCTTTGAAGCATGTGGGGATCACCGACTGAGATAAAGAGATATTGAATATCTCAGTGAACACAGGAGCTAGCTGGTATGCGCAGTCTCTTAGGATACGACCTGGGATGCCGTCTGGTCCTGCTGCTTTCCTGGTGTTCACTCTCTTGAAGGCTCTCCTTACTTCATGCTCGGAGAGGACGAGCACGTTTCCGGTGCTGGCAGTATCTTCCTGTCTGCAGCCGTTAGCGCCGCTAACACTGGCATTGTTGGAGACCTTAGCTGCAGCCTCGAAGCGAGCATAGAAAGTGTTCAGCTCGTCTGCCAGAGTCACGGCCGTGTTCGTCATACCGGTTGTTGGTGCTTTATAGTCCGTTATTGTCCTTAGTCCCCGCCACAGGCTCCTAGAGTCACTCTGTTGGAGTTGTGACTCTAGTTTCCTCCCGTAGCGCTGCTTCGCCTCTTTCACCGCCCTCCGCACGTTATATGACGCGGCTTTGTACGGGTCCATGTCCCCCGTTGTGAGTCCCGTGTTGTAGGCAGCGGTGCGGGATCTCAGAGCGTCGCGGATGGTTTTATCCACCCACGGCTTCTGGTTGGGAAACGTTGTGATAGACAGTAGATACTAAATATTACATGTTACTGTTTTTTTTGTTTTTGTTTTTTAATTTCACCTGTTGAGAATTAAAAAAGAAAACAAGCAGAAGAAAACGAGAGCAATAGAATAAACAACATCACGATGATATATGGGAATATAACAGTAAATACTAAATATTAAACATTATTGCACTGCACGTTGGATCGACAGCGCACAGTGTGCTTTGAGGTAGGAGCCAAAAAGGGTGTCGTTTGTGTGTGTGAGCACCCGTGTGTACACCTGTGAGCATGAACGCGCTTGTTTTTAAAAGGTTCCTTCATGTAATGATCTGCTAGAGGGCGTGGGGGGGCCACAGCCCCGTCCTCCAGGGCATGAAGCAGGTATGGAGGAGATCAACATTTTAATAGTTTTAAGACATCATAATTTTATCACATGTAATATACAACACATGCAGTTTTCATACTGTGATACAAAAAACTATTTTTCTGCCTGTTTATTTCAAATAAGCAGCTGAGACAGAGGTTTGGTGATCACTCCCATCACTTTCCCCCTTCTCAGAGTTCCAGCTGCAGCTTTATGCACTACTTTCAACCTAAGCTGCATTTCCATTAGATCTTTCTGACTCAGCTCTGTGAAGTAGAAATCTTCATTGAAAACTGGGCTCCGGCAGTTCCTGATGGTGGCACTCTCCTGCTGTTGCAGCTTCCCGGGAGTCAGACACAGACTCACTGCACAGTTCAGTGTCTGTCGGTCAGTATCACTCCACAGGCCTTCCACAGACACCACACATACTCGGACTGTGGATAAGGATGACGACGACCTGTCGGAGAATTTGGTGTGCTCAGCGGAAAGGCGCACTCTGCCATGGCCCTGCAATGGGAGGACATGCTCCCGCTGAAGTCTTTCCTGGCACTGCAGAGCATCCATCGGGAGGAGGGCTGGTGGAGTTAGGTTGGCTGAGTTTTCCTCTAAGCTTGATGGGCTGCTGAGTGAGGCTGTTAAATCCCCTCTCTTCCACTTCCTCCTGCCCGTCTTACTGTCAATTAATGAAGGGCAAGATACTGTACCTTTAAGGCGGCCACTGCTTGATGAGACATAAAGGGAGGATTTGACACAATAAGGTGAACTGAGGGGAGAGGAGTCACTGGAAGAAGGTGTCTCGCTTTCTGTCTCAGACATACTCTTGCATAAAAACACCGGAAGGAATCCAGATAAAGTTTTCTTGGGAAGATTAGTCTCTTTTGCCAGTCTTGGTGCTGCAGTAGGCATATTTCTATCAAGCAGATAAACAGGGCGTTTTGAGTGGAACAAAGACTCTTTCCTCCGAGTGTTGGGGCTCTCATAAATTCCACCCAGGCCGTAGCTCTCTGCAGAGAATGGCAAAGGCTTCTTTGTAGCTTTCCAGGCCATTGATGTGTCACCATTTTTTGTCTTCACATCCTTTGTCTTTACATGCGTATCTGAAATCTGCCTACTCTTAGGAATCTGGTTCTGACCGAATACAAACAGTGGCTTTTCCTCAGCTTCTAGCAGTGGGCTTTGCCTGCGAAGCCGTGGAGGCAGACAGAACTCTGGGATCATGTCTGGGGTTAGGACATTGTTGTGCAGATTCCTTGAGAGGCTAGCCTTTGAAGGGAAAAGTGTATCCTCCTCATTCTTTCCAATGTAACGACTCAACTCCTTAGGAAGGCTCTCCATGCTCTCCCTGATCTTCTCAAGGACCCACATGGCTGTTTAATGTTGATTTAAGGATTTGAATGTAGTTCCCTTTCCCCACCTTTGGTGACAAGAGTAAAGTATTATTTAATCCAATATAGAAATCTTGGAACAGAATAGCACACTTTTCAGAAATAAAACAGTTTTGCCAAATGGTGAAATAATTTTTTTCTTCTTACCTTTGGGGTTGTGATGTGTCTTTGTCCAGAGAGAGACCTGCCTGTGTGTGTGACACATGTGTCAGTGAGGTTTTAAAGGTAAGGGTGAGGCTCTGTCTGACTGATCTGACGCCTCCGCCTGGATTAAGCAACATTTCCTAAGCAGACATACACAAGAGTACACGTAACAAACACAGAGTGATGAGTGTTTCTGGGTGGGTGGCAAATCAGAGTGATGTGTTTAGTTGTGCTGGAATGGTGCGATGTCAGCTTGGCATCGAGTTGAGACAAATTACATCATTACTCTAATGTCCATGTTTTAAACAATAAAAGAAGAATGGTTACAGTCAACAAAGACACACCCTGCTCTAAATTACACATGAACCTACAAGCAAACATGTGAAGTGCAAATTTAAAATATACAGAAAATGCTCCTGCCCTGTCTTTGTGGTTTTAAATCGATCCAGATTTGCTACAAATTTTAATGGATTCTTAATTTGCTCATGCTCCACTTGTCCACTCGTGGATTAAGTTTTGTAAAGGTCAGCTTGGAAGTCTTTTTGTGATTTTCCAAAAAAACAAAAATCCAAACCAGCCCACTGACAGAATGCTGAGACCACGTATCTCTGCCTCTGCCTCAAATGGATGACATTAAATACATCCGATAACTGCATGTAAACATGTAAGACATCTTGAGCACTCGGAATATTTATTAAAAGATGTCCCAAAACATAATGTATTAGTCATAAAGTGCTGAAGAGAATGATGTTCATGTGATTAAAACACATGATTGATCACTGAAACGTGCTATTTTGATCATAATGACGTAAGCATAATCGACTTTTCACAGAGAGCTGCCCTCTTGTTCAAAGCAGTTCAAAGACAGGAGCCACCACCTCAAAGGTCCTCTGACCTTTAAACAGCTGGTAATGCAGACACACAACTGACCTAAAGTCTAGACAGGCTTCAGTCTCTATGTGTTGTCATGAAGGTGAAACTTAACTATATAAATATGGATGATGATACCATTGTGTTCCGATCTGAATTATAATGCTACATGCCAAATCAGCTCAAGATGAATTCATTCCTCATTTGATTCTATTCAGACATTTCCAGGATTTAAATGACCTGCTTCCTACATTTTTAGTATCACATTCTTACACAATGAAACCAAAAACCAGATTTTCATTGACTAACACACTTTGTCTTGTCCATGTGCTTTTGTCACTTTCTGCCCGATGGTTAACATCGAGATTGTAATTAAATTTTTCTCCCGTTCCAGATAACAAGCACCAGATTTCCATTACCAAGCATTAATCTAGATTATATTGTTTCCTGGCTCGTAATTCTGCCCGGAGACAAGACAGTAACACGAGTCATGAGGAACGTGGTGAGTTTCAACTCTAAAATAGCACATTGGAGATCTAAATTTGAACAATCAGCAGCATTCTCCATAAAGTCTACTCATCTATGGGACAAACCTCCAACTAAACTCAGATTAATTACAGGTATTAAATCTTTCACAGTAAAAGCAACTATGAGCTCAATTATGCAAATTTCATAATTGTGCAGACATCCTTTTTTTTCTTTCTTTCTTTCTTTCCCTTTTTTTTTTTGCATTTTTTTTTACCTTTTAGGCCATGACTGTCTCTTTAGCACCCACTAAACTGTATATATATTTATTTTTTATCTATAACCTTTTTTGTTTGTTTGTTTGTTTTCCAGTCCACCTTTTTCTTTTTAATGTGCCCCATAAATAAATTTAAGTTTGAGAATTTTAGGAGCCATATCTTAATTAATTTTCCCTTAATATTATATTTCTTTATCTTTTTCCTAGTTAATGTGCACTTATTGTAGTTTTCTATCTGTAGGGTTTTGTGATTTTATACAATTGAAAAAAAAAATTGTATTGTGAATGTAAGACCTGGAAATTAGCTACAGCTTTAAGTAGCAATTCAATTTCATGTCACCACTGGAACCATGTTAAACTACATCGATCCTATTTAATAAAATAATAATAATAATTAAAAAATATATATGAACATACAGGCTTTTGTGCAGTTAATTATCTGACCACAAGAGGGCATACATGGATTAAATATATTTTTAGTACCTCAAACCTCTCTTTGGTAAATGCATGACTTATAGTTAATATTTTTGTATAGCCTCATTATTATTATAACATCTATAAAACAACTGGAAAACTAAATGGTAGTCAGATTTGTCCATATAGACAAGCACATACGCAAAACATGTATATTGTATATTATTGTTCTGGGTAAAGATTACAGTAACAAACATTGTCCGACCCTGTGTGGCTGCCTCTATAAACAGAGCCTGTGACAAAGATGTTCAAAATAAAGATTCAGTTCAATTCAATTCAATATCAAGATGATGAATACAGTGAGTCTGGGGTCTCCACGTCACCCAGGGGTCAGGAGGCTTTTTGTGGTAGTGAAGATCAACTTTATTACAGCAATAAAAACCCAGAGTGCTCTCTGTAATGGAGAGTTAAATGATTAGGAGTCAGAGGAGGACCTTGCCTTTAACTGCTGCCACAGCTCCAATTAACGTTAACGAGAGAACGGCACATTGTTGCCAAATGCACCATCGCTGTTGAGTGCATTAGTGTAAAAACCGTTTTTGTTCTGGAGCCTAACATTTTAAAATGATAATTCAATCATTTATATTTTGTAGGCTTCATTTTGTTAATTCAGTGTGTGGAATATTATGTTAACTAATCAACCATAATGCTTTAAAGGTCTTAATCCTATATGCACCTTTCATTTTTGTGATTTGCAGACGTTAATTGTCTCAGACACCACGATGTCTCTTGTTTGTCCATCCATGCTTAATGTGTTACCAGGCTTTCAAATAAAGAAAAAAATGTGACAAATAAATATCAGCTAAGCTTAAACTAAGTGAATTACTCTTTTATTCAACAATCTCTCATTAAAGTTATTTGCAATCAGTTTAAAATTCACTTTATGCTACGCAAGAAAGCTACACTTTAATGTTGTCTAAAAGCATTCCACATATAGTTCAATACATCATGAAAAAAACCCAGTTTTATTCCTTTTATTATAGCTACAGAATAGCTAAGTGACTAGTGGCTGTTGGTTGATAATGACTGCTGTAGGGACAAACAGGTTCTTATCATTTGTCTTACAAACCAGCCTAAAAATGGATAAAAAGAAAAGAGCCAATGTATTAAAAATCATTCTGTGTTCTTGCACATCATTATTGTTATTATTGATGCAGTGTATTTCTTCCCCTTCTGGAGGCTGTAACTTAACCCTGCTAACCACCTGCCCAGGGCTAAAAGTGACCTTTGTTGCCTTCCTTCTTCACAAGAAAGGAACAATAGAAACTTCGACTGTGTTTCATGGAAGCTGATTCTTTGGAACATGCTCAGTAAGAAAAATGGTTATAGTCTTGCTGATTCAGTTCAGTTGCTCAATGCGGCAGAAAAGACTTCTGGTGCCTGGTGATCAAAGATCAATCAGACATGTTTGTTCTACCAGTTCTTCAAAGCAAGTCTTTTTCCATTTTTTTAAAGAATAAATCAATTTAATGTCTTTGCAGCTGAACTGAGTTGTAATGATTCAGTAATTTTGCCTTATATTGTAAAGCTGTGTACCTAACAATGAATAACATGTGTTACAAAGAGGAGAACTTTCCAATATGAAGTGAAACAAAGAAAGTTTTTTTTCGATTACACTTTTGTAATTAAATGGATGTATTAATCGATACATATACAAAATACAAAAATAAATTGTTTAGGGACATACAGAAAAGACATATGACATTAGTCACAACACAAAAAAGGCAAAATCTGTAATATTTGTATCATATTTTATTTCTTTAAATTTTAAAGGAACTCTATGAGAAACCATCAAATTACATCTTTGCTTATTCTTGCACCAATAAACTAATAATCGAGTCCTGGCAGTTGTATTAATTCAAACCTTTGTTATAGGGTTTTCACTGAAACACTACCAGTCATCATGTTTTGACATTGTGTAATGAGATTGAAAATTTCAAGTACAAACTCAGCAGGGAGAGAGCTGATGACACACTTGTTCATTTCCATTTCACTTTAATCTCTATTACTGGCGATTCAAATGGGCCCATACGAGCACTCATTTTCTTACAAAGCACTTAACCTCTGACAAACTGCTGAAGTTCTTTTGGCCACAGAACTTCTTTGTCCGAACTCTTTAGAGAAAGTGAAGAAGCGGGGAAGTCAGAGAGGAGAAACAATGGGAAGCAGGCCAGAGAAGGTGAACCACTGACCTATTTTGAATTGATAATTAAGGGTAATAATGGCTAATAAGCTGTAATAATTTGGGCCAATAAAGAAAGTTGGCAGATTGATGATGATGATATGAGCTGCGTCAGATGACCTTGCTCTGACGACAGAACAGAGACAATACACTTCAACCACGGGGGTGGATTAAATTTGACCCTGGATCAGTGAATCATCGGGTAATTATTACCTTTGGTAGAACCTCAAAATCCCATCCTTTCGTGAACCTCGGGACCAAAAAATGGTCCCGCCCCAAAAGTGCTCTAAAAATGTTATATATCAATATTTTTTTCTACTTTAAATTAGTCAATCTTTTAAAACTACTTCTGCTTAAAATATCCATGTCAAGTTTTAATTATATTTTCATTGTTTTAACCCTTTAAATCCCAGTTTTATTACATGAGCGCCCTGTTTTTTTAGCCCCAAAAAACAAAAAAAACTAAATATTTTCCAAAAAAAACATTTGAAGTAATATTTGTTTGTTATTATAATTAGGCCTTTAGATGGACTAAAGATTGGCACCAACAGTCATTTCGATCGCCTTT